TAAAATAGCAAAGACCTAGAAACTCCTAGACGCACAGAACAACTCATACTCTGTGGCGTAAACAGAATTGAACAGAAATATGAAGCTACTAAAAGGTAGAGATTATGCAGATTGTCAATAGGTATATAAGTGGGAGAGAGAGAGAGAGAAAGCTCAGTGAAGAGTGGTCACGAAAGCTGTCACAGACCGGCTGCGGGACTTTATATAGCCCCTCACAAGTCACGCATAAGTCACGTGGAGCCCGGAGGTGGCCCTCGGCTGCCTCCTGCCCTGCCCACGGGCAGAAAGAACCGCATGTCCATCTGTAAAGCATTTACGGATGTCCACGTACGTCCCATGTACGTCGTCTGACTTAACCTCCCCCACAACCCAAGAGAGACGCAACGGGTCATCGTCGCTCTAGGTGGCCTGCCTGAAAAGAGTCCAGCCGCTGTTAATGTAACGAGACCGGTTTTTGTGACATCGATGTGACCTGGCAGCCAAGGAGAGTGGACTGGAATGTGCATGCGTGAACAATGACGACTTCACCGTACTAGGCGGTAGGGGTGGCAGCCGCCATTCAGTGAGCACGTGCGCTGTGTAGCCGTCACATTCAAAGTGACTGAGCGTGTGGAGCTACAAATCTGCATCAAAAATTTTGTGTTAAGCTTGAACTTTCCTCTGCGGACACTATTTGGATGATTCAGAAGGCCGCAGCTACGGGCAGCTGGTGATGGGCAGCTTCATCTCAACAACGTGTCTGCTCACCCATCATGTCTCGTGCGGTTTTTTGCAAAACATCAAATCACCCAGGTGACTCAGCCCCTCTACAGCCCAGATTTGGCGCCCTGCGACTTCTGGCTTTTCCCAAAACTAAAATCAGCTTTGTAAGGGAAGAGATTTCAGAACGTTGATGAGCTTCAAGAACATATGACAGGGCAGCTGAGGGTGACTGGGAGGACTGAGTGAGGTCCCAAGGGGCCTGCTTTGAAGGGGGCTGAAGCATCATTGTCCTGTGTACAGTGTTTCCTGCATCCTGTGTCTTCTTCAATAAATGTCTGTCTTTTTCGTGATACATGGCTGGATCCCTTCTGGACGGACCTGGTATGATGGAGACTGTGCCGGGGACCACGGCCTCTGGACCTGGGGCCAGAAACCCTGAGCTATTGCCTCCACATTATGAGAGACCCAGAAGTCCCCAGCAAAAATGGGGCTTTAAAAACACAAAAAACTGAAAACTAGCCGCAATCCCCACCAATACCTTCTGGGATCACTAAAAATAAAAAGGGGGCTGGGCTAAGGAGAGAGCTGGCGGCTGGCAGGGAAGCCTGGAGCTCCGCCCGCAAGAGCCCGCAGCCCGGCAGGGGGGCTGCCCTGCTGAGCGAGCCCTGGCCCTTCAGACGCCGGGCTGGAAGGCAGGGCAGCTGGCGTGCACCTGGGAGGGTCCTGGCAGCCTCGTCCCTCAGCGGGGGGCACGGAACGGTCACTCCAGCCCTCAGAAGTGAACGTATGTCACGCTCCTTCTGCAGTGTCAGAACAGGGACCCTCCCAAGCCAACCTGTCAATTAGGGACCCAGGCTGCTTTCGGCAGAGCCTTTCCCAGGGGCTATGACAGGGACCAGCAGGGGCCAACTGCACACAGAAGCCAAGTGGCCCGCCAAGGTCACTCCCTGCATGACCCATGGCGCTGCTTCAGGAGACCCGGGTGCCCGGGGTCTCTGTGACTCTCTGAGGCTCATGGGGTGGACACTGCCCAGGAGGGCGCCCCAGATGACACAGGGGGAGCTGCGTACTGGGGGACTGGAGGGAAGACTACTTTTTCCTTTCCTCCCCACCCTCCTGAGTCTGTCTGTTTGTCTCTCTCCCCTCTCTCCCTGCTGTCTGTGCAGCAAACTTGCTGCTGCAGCGAATCCCCTGGGCCAGAGGCTGTGGCAGAAAGGAGGAAAAAGCCACTCAGCCAGCTGTGAGGGAGGCCGCCTCCGCCCCGTGGACGTGAGTGTATGGGGACAGCCAAAGGCCCCTGCGGCTCCAGGCCCCCTTCCCAGGGCTGGGCAGCAGCTCGGAGCAGAAGAGCTGCCTTTCCGGGCCTGGTTCACAGCTCCATCTGCTCCCAGCGTTCCAGCGGCAGACCAGGCTGCCAGCAGGACCCGGGCATTGCCTCCCCGCACAGGACCCAGTGGGGGCTGCACAACTGCCACCGGGAGGGAAGGGAAAGCCGGAGCTGGCTGCCGGGCTGGGGGTAGGGGGGGCACAGCTGCAGAGAGAAGAGCAGCCACACTTTGCCCTTTGGCTTATCGGTCAGAATGCGGGCCCCGAACCTGCCTGCTGGCCACACCCAGCCCCACTGCAGAGGGTGCCAGGACCTCCAGCGGGACAGTCCTTCCTCCTGCCTGCTTCCGGTCCCCAACCCTGGGAGAAGGCCAGCTGAGGCCCTGGTGTGCTGTGCACGGGGCCTTCTGGCCACGGTCCAGGCTCCAAAGCAAGACCCAGAGGGGACAGCAAGGGTCAACGCTTGGGGCACCAGAGCTGCACCAGGCCACCTCCTTGGGATGTGAAGAATGCCTGTCCCTCTGGGTCCCAGTGGGAGAGTGGGGGGTGGAGGGAGAAAAGGAGCAGGAGACAGAAAGACAGACAGACAGAGAACTCCCTCTGTTGCCAAAGGACTGGTATCCCAGGCCCCAGGGAGCACAGTAGTGGGAAGTCACCTTGGTTACACACTGTTCCGGGCCTGAATATGCAAGTGGCAGGTAAACAGGCCAGCTAGGGAGCCCCAGTCCCCAGGATGGCTGCAGTCCTCCTGGCCACCTCTGACGGGGACAGTGGGCTGTACCTGCCCCCTCACCGGCTACGAGTCCCTGGGGGCTGGTGGCCCCCCTGCGCCTGCCCCGCCCCAGGTCTTTTGGCTGCTGGGCTGAAGGCACGGTGCCACTGCAGTGAAGCAGCCCTGTGCCCTAGGGCTTGGCAGCTCTGGGAGCCTCCCCTCAGAACGCACCCCTGCAGGCAGCAGGACCGGGCGCCCTCCCCCACGGTGTTGCCATTCACGGGGAGATTCTCCCTGCCCCGGGCTGGCCCCTGACAGCCAGACATGCCCAGGCCTCTGCCTGTCTTCCTGTCTTGCCTTCTGTTCTCCTTCCTCCAAAATCCGAAAGCACCTTTGCCACACTTTCCCTGGCCCCTGGATCCACAGGGATCCTGCCGAGAAACCCAGAAATGGCAGCGGATCCAAGGGGAAATAAGAGGCAATGGTGCCCACTGGTGTTTCCAGACATCGTGGGTCTTCTCTAACCCATAGTGGGCACGGGAAGGAACTGGCAGAAACAGGGGGTGGGGGGAATCCTGGTGGCCTAGCCCTGCCAGTAACCAGGCCAAGTTCAAGTCCAAGCAGAGCCAGGTGCTGGCGCCCACAGCAGGTGTGGCGGGGCTCCTCCCATTCCGCCTCCCGCTCTCAGCCCTGGGTCTGCAGCTCATCTCTCTGCAGATAACGCAAGGTCAAGGCCCAGCACTCACTGCTGCCAGGACATCACACATACACAGGCACAAGGAGGGGACCCACGGCCTGAGCCCCTGCTGAGGACAGCAGCGGAAAGCTGGAAGGGCTGGGGGCATCCTGAGACCCCTCCAAAGGCTCACTGCAGTGGGGACCCCTTTTCTGATAAGGGCTCCAGACTGGAGAAACCCAGGTCTGCTCCAGGGCAGCGGTGCCCTCCCGGCCGGCTCCCCCAGTCCTGCCTGACCGCCCCAGCCCACCCTGCCCCCCTCCCTGCCCCCACACATCCCCCCCCTGCTCCGCAGTGAATTGGTGCGGTATCAGGGCACAGAGGTAGGGTTGCCCTGCTCTCCGTATCTCTGGAGAGCGTCTAGCTCTAAATAAATATACACCCAAAGAGGAAGGGAGAGAAAGCTGGAGAGAAACCAAGAGAAAGAAGGAATTTAAATTAAATTATTTAATTTAAAAAGTAAAAAAGAGGAAAAGGCACAGAGAAGGAGGCAGACCTCCTAGTCCGCCACCCAGGCCCTCGGGGTCTGGGGCCCCACCCCACCCAGGCACACACTTCAGGGTGCGGACGGGCCGGGACCCTCCTTCCCAGGCTGCAGAGCGGCCTGCAGGGAGCTGTACGCCGGGTGCAGAGCCTGGCGCTGGAGCCAGGCCGCCTGCCCAGGACCTGGCCCCACCACTTCCTATCGGCTGACCTTGGGCACGTCACCAAACCTCATCTGTCGGTGGAGGCTAATAATAGTACCCACCTCATTTGGCTACTGGGGGGATTAGGACACAATAAGAATCCATGTTTATTATTGCTTTGAACAGGGACAGTCCATGCTCAAAACATCTGATGAAACCCCCGAATGCCAGAGCTCACAGGGGCCTTAGCCGTTGCCACCTACACAACTTCCCTGGCTCATCTCACGGATGAGGGGTGACATGCCAAGGTCTCCTGGGCGAAGGCAGAGCCGGCCCGGCACTCGGGTCTTCCGACGCCCAGGTCAACACTCAGTATGCACGTTCCCGGGCGTGAGCCGGGTGCCCGAGCGGGGATAGCCAGGGCCCTGCGACCTGCTGGGACAGATGCCCCAGACGGGGACAACGAGGAGAACACTGGGAGGGGCAGTGGAGGGAGACTCCTGGTGCGCTGAGCACCATTCAAGGGTGGACCCTGCCAGGACGCTCAGCAGAGGCCCCGGGAGGAAGTAACAGCTACGCCGAGGGTTAAGGACGGGAGGGCCCAGAAGGTGAGGGGATGTACCGGTCACCTGGACAAGTAGAAAAGTTGTGGGAAGCCTGCCACCAGTGGGCCTCCACCGCAGAGAACTGAGGTGAGCCGCCCGAATTTACTGCGGGCCAGCTGCGGGAGCCAAGCGAGCTTAACCAGACCCCGCTCCCTGAGGGCAGCCGTGACCCCTCCGGTCTGCCTGCTGGCGCCCCGGGGCTCAGCGTGGCCCGCACACCGGCGAGCAACGCGGCAGAGGCAAGGGCCAGCCGGGGCCTCACCTGACGCAGGGCAGGAGGCCCACCCACGCACCTTCAGCATCCACCGTCTCTTTCAGGACGATCTCCACCCGCTCCACGTGGTGTCGGTTCCAGAGGCCGTCCAGGGCCTCGCGGTTCTGGTCCCGGAAAGGCAGGATCTGAGCCACGGCCTGGCGGGGAAGGAGACTGGTTGTGCTGCACGCTCCTCCCGGCACCAAGTCGGAGTCCTGACGCCCCGGCGGGGCCCCGCGCCCTCTCGCCCCGCTCCGAGAAGGCCCTCGGAGCAACGGTCGGTCCCTGGACTTCAGGGCTTCCCGGCCCCGCAAGGGCTCAAGCACTTTTAAGGGACCTCCTCGGGGTGACCAGATTTCTAGTTTGCCAGGAAAAAAAATATTTAAGGTTATTTAGCATCTGTCACCATGGACCTTTAATACCAGAAAGCTGTTGTAACACCAAAAATAGAGTAAGAAAAGCTTCAAATTGAAAACACGCCATCTATCATTTTTTTCACTTTCCCATAAACAAGTGAAAGTCCCTCTGGGACAGGCACGGGTGTGCGGCCGCTCTGGGCAGCTGCAGCGCCAAAGAGGGCCGGAGGCGGGGCTGCCCCCGGGCGCTGGGCCCTCAACCTGCTCAGCGTGGGAAAGCTCTCTGCCGGCCTATCTGGGGACAGATGTCCTAAAGGGGCTCTGAGGGCACGTTCAGAGTGACCTGGCCAGCTGACAGGTATCACCCAGGTTGGCCCCATGCTCTGCCACAGGGGCCTGCCCGAGAAGCCCGGACCGCAGGTCCCTATTCGGTGTTAAAATCTTGTCACCAGCCTTCTGGTTCGAAACAGAACTCGGGGAGAAAACGATATTGAAAAGCAGGCAGAGAGGCTTGGAACAGGTGGTTTGCTGTAATTCCCACAGCACCCCCAGCTGGGAGCCGGGTCCAGCTCCCGGGGGCGGGGGGCCACCCCCAGAGGGGACGCAGGGCGAGCTCAGAGAGCAGAGCCCGGCCCCTGCTGGGCAGCAGTGGGCAGGACACGTGTGCGAGGGCCTGCTCACCGCTTTTCCTTAGTCCTCTGACCTTCACAATGACTGTGGAGCTCAGATTTCACATGCCTTTGGGCCTCATTCCACAATTAGTGATGAGGCCCTGCCCACGGGTTAGCCCAGCTTGCTCCAACCCTGGCGGGCTCTGAGCTGAAGCTCACCTGCTTGCCCAGGTAATGGTCCACCCGGTACATCTCCTCCTCCTGGAAGAAGCTCCCGAGTTCCGTGGCCAGCTGCTGGGCTGAGAGGTAGTCGTGGCCGAAGGGTTTCTCCAGGACGACCCGCAGCCAGGCGTCGGGGCCTGGCCGGCAGCTGCTGTTGATGCTTCGGGCGATGTCTGCATAGGCGAAGGGGGGCACCGAGAAGTAGAAAATCCGGCCAGCCTCCCGGAGGCCCTCCCGCTGGACCAGCGCCTCAATGTCCTTGCTCAGGGCCAGATAGTCCTCAGTTGTCTTCAGCTGGCGGTACTGGCTCAGCCGCTGGAACTGGTCCTTGAGTTCGGCACAGCGATCAGGGGCCACATCCTTGGGGCAGGAGAGGGACTCCAGGATCTTGGCCAGGATCTCCTGGCCCTGCTCGGGGGTCGTCAGAGCAGCCCCATGGAAGCTAAAACGGTGGCCCTTCCCCGCCTCATCCAGGTACAGCTGGAACAGTCCCTGCCACAAGTACTTCTTGGCCAGGTCCCCAGTAGCTCCCAGCAGGATTACGGAGACATGTCCCTGGAGCTCCTGGGCCTGCAGGCAGCCCAGCAGGGCCACCCACACGGCCACCGTGAGCATCTTCCGAAAGCCTGGGCGCCTGGGGTGCCTGGAAAGAGCCACAAGGAACAAGGAAGGGTCAGACACGGCCCCGGTGGCTGCGATGTGGGGTGAACATACGTCTAGTCTACCAAACACTTCCTGCCTGGCAAGAAACAGCCACGTGTCTCTCGGAAAAATGTTAAGAGGCTCATGGCTTCCCCCTCCCTGCCCCGCAGCTTGCTTCTGTGCCAGGAAGCCAGTGGGTAGAGAGCCTGCTCTGTAAACAGGGACTATGCCCCGGAAGGTGGCAGGCCACTGCAAGAGGTGGGACATTTGTCCACGGGAGCATGGGAAGACAGCACAAGCCACGGGGGGGAAGCCCACGGGGCTGCTGTGGGATGGGAGCTGCGCACCTCACGATCAAGGGCAGGCTCTCCCCCTGAACACAGGCTGCCTGGGCCACCAGGGCAGCTCAGGGATGTGGCAGGCCCTTAGATGACGCCGGTCACCTCCTCTCACACCTCTTTGCTTCTCCCACGCCCACGGGGTTCTAAGACGACATGCTGGCTGACCATGGCTACAGTGTGGGAATTAGAAATGCACGGGCCCTGGAATAGCCCCATGGAGGAGGTGTGGGAGAGGCAGCCACACAGGCACGTTTCTCTCCCTCTTTCTCCTCTCTCTAAGAAGAAATAAATAAAATATTTCATAAAAAAAGAAATCCCAGGAACTGACGAGGGCCCTGCAGTTCTCCATCACCCCCTGCATGGAGGCCCCAGGCGGGCCTCCTGCCTCTGACCCCTCCCCCACTTTGCCCTTTGCTTCCTCCTCATCTCCCTGGAGACCCCTCCCCGAGACGGCACCAGTTGGTAGCCAAACCAAGAAGAGGGTCCCACAACAGCGTTGGCGCCCGGCTCTACCAGACACGGGACACACTCCTTATGGAGCTTCTCACTGGTGGACCCCGTGACCCTCCTCCACTCTGCCCTTATCGGCGCTCACCCCCATATCCAGAGCGACCACAGGACCCTTCTACTTTCTTCTCCTGCCTTCCAAGTCCTGTCCCTGTCCCTTCAAGCATTTCTTTCTCCACTGGCAACCACCCCGGTTGGAGGGAAGGCAACGCTGCAAGGTCAGTGCGGAAGAACGGCGCGGCCCAGGGCAGAGCCTGGGGAGGGAGCCGCCGCCAGCTGGCAGGCGCCTCTCAGAGCTCCCGACCGGAGAGTGGCAGGCGGGGCTCTGGACGGGCTAGTACAGGCAGCAGAAGGAGCTCGAGAGCTTCAGGGGGCCTGGGTGGGCAGCTGAGGGAGCCCAGAGGGCCAGGACCTCTAGCCCCGCACCAGAGGACCACGGAAAGCCCTCTATGTAATGCCCCTCTGACGTGGAGGGTCTTGCTGCGGTCTCTCCCAGGTCAGCCCCCCTTGTCTCCTGTGTATGTCCCCAGAACTCCTTCAAACAAGCACATCAGAGCCGCTGGTGATGGCAACAAGGTTGCTTACTCCGTGGTTGCTCAACTCCAGGGACCAGGTCTTTCCTGAACCTGTGTGGGTGGTGTGTGTGTGTTTGGTTTATTACCATTTTTTAAAAAACCTTAAAACAGTGTTTCTCAAACTTTAATGTGCATCTGATTCTCTGGAGGGTCTTTTTGAAAAGCAGATTCTGACTCAGAGAGTTCAGGGAGGGGCCCGAGAGGCTGAGGCTCGCCCGAAGAGCGCACTTTGGACAGCGAGACGCAGGAGAGCTGCGCACTGAGTCTACAGCAACTGCATCTGCCTGCTGCTGCCTTCGCCAAGGCCAAGGCCAAGGGCCTCGGGCTCTGGCGGGTGCAAACAGGGGATCTTTCAAAACTGCCCTGCAGTGGTTTCGACTGGCCCAGCGCCCTGCAAACTGGCCACTAACTACAGAGAGCTCGACGGCCATTCCTGGTGGTCAGTTAGCAGGCAGCATGTGCAGGGGACTTAGATGCACTGTCCCCCTCGCTCCTCAGACCCACCCCGGGAAGGAGGCGCTGCGGTGACGCTCGTCGTGCAGACGAGAAAACCGCAGGTGAGGTCAACTGTTGAGTCGCAGAGCCCGCGTCCCCGTGTACCCGCAGCGTGGCATTTGGATCAGAGGACCTGGGCTCAAAGCCACCTCCGGGCTCTATGACCTAATTCAGTCACCTAGTCGGTTTGGGTCCACGTTCCCTCATCTAAAAAAGGGGACACCAGGTGGCTCCAGCACATCCCCTGCGAGGCAAGGCTCGGCTGTGGAGGGTTTTCCTGAATCCCTTCCTCCCTCCTCCTGGCCTGTTCTGAGAAGAGGGGGCTGTGAGAGGAATCTTCTAAAATAACGAACTTGCAGTTGGCCAAAAGCATGGCAGCGGCGCTCTCACTGCTGACCTTGCTACCAGCCTCTTCTCTTTTTCACAAATAGACAGGAGGCCCTCAGGGGGAAAGTCCGAGAAGCCACAGGACGGGGCGGGCAGCGCACCGGGCTGTGAGTTGGAATGCGAGGTGGTCCTCGCTGGTCCTGCCGCTGAACCACCTCGTCACCTGGAACGTGGTGTCTTTTCCCCAGGCTGCACCTTGCAGCCTTCTCTGCCACCTGGGAGAGACGGACTTGCAGGACCGCAGCCCACATTTCCAGGAAAGGAGATAACTGTTATCGGAGAGACACCCACCACCTTTCCGGAAGGGCAGTTCAGTGCTTTCAGCCCCAGGCCAAGGTAGTATGGGCCAGGGAAATGCAGGGCTGAAAAATGAGGCAAGGAGCTGATAACCGCGTCCTTCGGAAGTTAAGACAAAGCTTTCTGAAGCTGTACCGTCAGTGCTTGGAAGATGTCACTTCATTCACACACAACAGTGATGATTCAAGACACTTCCAGAAATGCACCACACTGCCAAGTGAGGGCCTCGGGGGCGTCCTCGGAGGTGTGGCAGTCGTTCCCCTGACGGGGCTCCTCTTGGCTTCAGGACTGACAGGGCACATGACCACGGTCCAGGCACCCACCCCTGCTCCCACTGCAGACCAAGGGCTTCCTGCCCAGCATCCTGGGGACTCACCTTTGAGGCTCAGGTCTGTTCACATCCACAAAGCCGTGGACACTGCCTGGCCAGAGGATGTGGGTCAGAATCAGGTTCCCCGTCTCTGTCTCCGCCCAAGCGAAAGGGGCAGCTATGGGGGGGCACCCGCAGAGCCGTGCCTGCCCAGGCCGGGTGCAGACCCAGGGCGCCAGCAGTTCCTGGCGCGCCCCACGGGGAATCGGCTCTGGGCCTCTGTTCCCAGAAACCAAGGGGCGGGAGAGGGGCTGGGAGGTAAAGGTCAGTGGCTGCAGCCACCCCGCTCCCTCCATTTCTGCTTTCGGTTTGCCAGGAGGGGAGGAGGGAGGTTTTCTTTAAACCACAGCCCAGGATTGTGGAATTTTTAAAAGAATGTGTAGGACTAAAACAAAGGAAACTGAAGATCCTCTTCAACTAAAGTACCAGGGACTGGGCCGGGTCTCCGCTATACGCACCTACTCTCTCGCTCTCTCCTTTCTCCTGCTCTCTCTCCTGTCTGCTGGGGCCCCTCTGTGCCACCCCCTGCCCCCCACACATGCAGGCCAGACCCTCATCAACGACCGCCCGGGGCTGAACTGAGGACCAGTGTGAGATGAGCGCTAGGGCCCTTCTTCCTAATCTGAGAGAGTCCTTATTCCCATCGCCTGCCTGTTCAGGTTCCAGTCTTGGGTCCCCAAGACTCAGAGGGTGTACTGAAGCCGCCTTGTACCTGCCCACAAGATTCAACCGCTAAATTTTCAGGATTTTTTCCAGCCAGTTGTTAAGCATAGCCATTATTAACAACCGAATTATACACACTTATAACTAAACCCATTGTAGTCACAGCACAGGTCATAAAGGCTCAAAACTCATGACTTACTAATTATTTTGCTACATTTTACTATGATCCAATCTCTTGACATTATTTTCATCTATTGTGTCTGTAAGAAGAAGATACTCTGTAACATGTGCTTGAAATTGGCCAGCTAGTGGTGTTCACACAGCAGTTATTGGCAAATGCTACAATGCAGCACCTCCACCTCCTACCCCCTGCAGAGCTGGTTGTTACACATTTACCAGCACAACCGGCCTATCTGCCAAGTCCATGTTTCCCGTCTGGACTTTCTCCCCCTGAACTCCACACTCAGACCACCAACTGCTACTGTGACGCCATCAGTTGCATGTGTACAGCTTCCCACGTTTAAAATCAAACTGACTTATCTCCCAACCTGCTCCCAGCGCAGACTCCCCCATTCTCAGTAAAAGGCAGATCTCTCCTTCCCAGCACTCAGGCCAGAAACCCTGGGATCGCCAGCCCGTCACAAACCCTACAGTTTCTATCTTCCACCTTTTTGTAGAAAACACCCACTTCTCTCCGCCTTCTGCCCCCGCACTCTGGTCCTGGCCACCACCACGGCCTCTGCATGCACTGCTGCACAGACCACCACCCCTCCGCCACTGGCCTCCCATTTCCGTCCCTGCCTGAACCCAGCAGTCCCTGGGTCAGATCACATCACTGGTCTGTCCAGTGGCCTGCAGGGTCCCACAAGTGCTGGCCTCCCACCTGTTACCTCTTTCTTTCCCTGCCTCTCTGGCCTTCTCTAGGCTGCAGCCGCCCATCCTCCTGCCTCAGGGCCTTTGTACTTGCTGTCCTCTCTGCCTGACCTACTTTTCCTCACAGACGTCCACAAGGGCCACCCCCTCACTGCTTCAAGTCCTGGCTGTAATGTCACCTTCTCAGGGAGGCTTTCTCGGCCGACTATGTAAAACTGTAACCCTCCCACCCCCCTGTCTTCCCCTGCTTTATTTGTTCCCCTAGTGTCTATCGCTTTCTAACATAACTGGGTGAGAAAAGGATGCTGATTTTGTTTATTGTCTGCCATCCCGCCCCTCAAGAATGTAGGTGCCAACAAGGACAGAAGTTTTTGTGTTTTGTTCACTGCGTAGCTCCAGTACGCAAAAGAGGAGCCTGGCACACAGAGGGTGTACCGCAAACATCTGCTGAGTGAACAAACAAACCAATTTGCACAAGCCCTCTGTCACCTGCGTCTGAGCTCTCTGCACCTGGATGACGACAGCACAGAGGAACAGACCTCGAGTGGAGACTAATACGTGACACGGTACCTATTAGCAGCCGCTTGCTACCTGTAACAATATTATTAATAATAAAAGAGATACTCACAGAGTACTACATTGCACACGAAATGCTAGTCTAAGAGCTCGCCATGCATCGTGTGACAGCCTGCGAGGTAGGTATTTTTATTGTCCCTATTTTTAGGAGGAGTAGAGGGGAAACTAAGGCGCAGAAGGTGAATTAACTTACTGCAGTTGGTAGGCGGATAGGATGAGGACAGGCCGACTGGCTCCTGTGCTTACCTCCCCCCTATCTGTACATGCCTGACTATGACCCCCTATAGCGACATGCATAACATTGTATCAGTGCGGCCACCCCTTCTGCTCCTCTAACAAATGGGAACATCCGTGGTTTATAAACAAATAGGCTCTTTCTCTTGCATAAGCTCCGGGAGCTGGGAGGCAGCTCTGCACCCTGAGGTCAAGGTGTCCTGAACACTAACTGCTGTAAACGGCTAACAGTGACTCACTCTCCTTCTCCCTTTTGACGTCATAAAAACATTGTGTTCAAGCCTGAGTTGCTTTGTTAAACCCCGGAAGGGCCACTCAGTTTCTGGCGATCAGGTGAAGTGGGAGAACCGAGCTGTGTGACCTTACACCGGCTATTTAACCTCTCTGTACCTGGGCCACAGAGTGGGACAACAAGTCGATAAAAACAAAACGAGACACTCCATATAAAGGACTTGGCACGATGCTTGGCACAGAGCAAGCACCCAAGAAATGTTAGCTCCAATTATTATGAAACCAATAGCATCATGAGTGAAGGGACGTTTCTTGCTAGCTTCTTGGAACAGCTGCAAGGCCGATTAACCACCTCCCAACAGAGAAAGTGCCAAGGAACAGCTAGCTCGGGAATAGCTTCCTGACCTTCCAACCACACCGATGAAAAACACAAGGGCTGTGATGCTGAGATTGTTAGGTCCCCACCCAGCCTTTGAGGGGCTGATAATCTGGCCCAAAGAACACAGCAGGAGGGCAAACCTCTCACTCTGCAGCCCTAGGCTCTCGCTTCACTGCTGAGGGCCTTTTCTCCAGCTGTAAAGTGGGGATCATCGCCTCATGTTAACCCTTGGCTGAAAAAAAGACAACCCAGATCATGGCTGTGAAAATACTCTGGGAGGAAATGGTGGTAAGAGCTCTCACAGACAAAAAGCCACCTGGTTCCCAACGCTGGACAGCAGGCAAAGCAAAACCAGACTTCTTGCTCTGCCCCGGTGAGGGCCCGACAGACTCCCGGGGACGTCTGCCAACCTGCGCTGACATTTGTCTTGTTCAAATGCCATCAATAAAGTGAGAAGTGGCCGGGCCACAGATGACCGAAGTGCCTCTTGGTTTCCTTTTTCTTGCCCACAGATTTAACTATCTCCCTTCTAACGGGCTCAAACCCACCTGACCAGAAGAGTAACTTAGTAACCTCCAGACGTGGGATACAACTGACTTGAATGTTTGCCTACGGTGGTTATTTGTTGAGCAGTCATGTACCTCGAAGAAACAGTTGCACAAAAAGCTCTCGGAAAAACGAGCTCTGTTCACGCCAAACACTGAGCATTTTTTTTTCCTCAGGTGCTCCTAAAACTTACCAAATAATTAACCTTATATATAGCTCAGAAATTCTATCAGTCACCCATCGCTGCAAAGAATGAAGAAAACAATGTAAAATGTGCCCACTCTCCTCCAGTTTCCCCTCATCTACTAAGTTTCGTGAGCCATTGGCCTAGTGGGGGTGGGGTGGGAGCCGCACCGGGTTGTGCGTGGCAAGGAATTCATTCAGGCTTATGATTTTTCCAGTTCTCATTTCTGGCAAAACTTTCAAATTTGAGTGAGCTGATTTTCAGAGCTCTGGGCGAGTTTGCTTCTGGAAAACCATTCGTTGGGTGCGTTGGAAACGCCGACTGAAACCTGAGAGTTAATACCAAAGATTAATCAGATCTCATGAAAAAGCAACGAGTCCCTACTCTCGTTTAACTGAATTCCAGAAAGCCTAGGAAGGGACCCCACTGGCCCCTCTGGACTAGCCTCACAGGGGCCTGCCTGCCTGCCGCCGAACCACCAACAAACAGAAGCTGTACCCAGGGATCCGACCGAGGTGGACGTGAACAATTAATTTATTTTGCAGAAGGAGGGTGGGAGGAGATTTCGGGCAGGCTCTGGCCCAGCCTGGCTCCCAGAGGCTGCAGGCTGGCGGGTAGTAGCGAAGGTGACTCTTCCCGACAAAATGCCCAAGGGTTTAACAGCCGCGCGTGGCCGGCCTCCCGGGCCCGCGGCCCGACCCACCGACCTCTGGTTCGGCCCCGCGCGCGCGCGCTGCCGCCATCCGGCCAGAAGGAACGCCTGCGGCCATCCGGCCAGAACGCCTGCGGCCAAAGGAGCCAGAGAGAAAGCGGGAGAGGCAGCTTACTTCGTCTTAGCCGTCAGAACCGGCCGCTGCTCCGGGGAACGTCGGGGCGGCGCACTGAGAGGTGCGCTGCTGCCCGGGCTCAGGCCGGGGCCCCGCGCATCGTCTTCCGCGGGCCTGGGCTGACCCGACAGGTGCGCGTCACGCGGCCCCGCGCCTCGTGCGCGCTCGGGTTTCACCAGCCGAACAGTGGACCGCGCGCGGGGGGCGGGGCGGGGGCTCGTGAGGCCCGGTTCAGCCCGGCCGCCCTCTCCCTCCCCGGAAGCGCGGCGCCCGGGGCCTCAGACCAAGGCGCCTTCCGCGCGCGCGCGTGCAGTGGTCTCCGGGTCCGGGGCGCGCGCGCGCCGGGAGGCCCCGGGAGCGGGGCGCGCGCGCTCAGTGGGACGGAGCCAGGAGCTCCGGGCGGAGGCGGAGACGGAGACGAGACCACGCCCCCTGGCTCCGGGCAGCAGCGGGAGGAGCAGGCGGGGCCTCCGGAGCGATTTCCTGGTTCCTTCAGATCCGCTGGATTCTGGAGCAAAGTGGGCGGGCCAGTGGCCGGTCCTCCCTCCCAACGGTAGCCGGTCTCTCCCACCCTGGGCTCTGCTGTGCATCGCAGTGGCTACCTTGTGAGACACACGGGTGGCCGAGGGAAGTGGTCGTGTCGAGGAGGAGGTCAGGGAGCCTGGTTGCGGGCTCCTCCCCAGAATCTGGCACGAGCTGTGGGAACAGGTTACCTGCCCTCCCCAGTCCTTGCTTTCTTCCATCTGGGTGGGTGGTCTGATGGAGCAGTTCAGTTCACCCCATTTGCAACACCCAGAGTAATGATCCAGGGGTCAGAGGGCATGCCACTGCCACAGCTTCACCAGACGGCTCCAAGTCCCTGCTTTTACTCCCGAGGGGGTAAAAGAAAGACCCGAAGCTCCGATTCTTCATCCGCACCAGAGGGCAATGAGAGGGTGCCTGCCCTGGGCGTTGTCAGGCCTGGGACAAGTGCTCAGTAAATGGTAGCCTGCACTCGTGTGCAGAGCAGCAATGGGGAAGAAGCCCTCCCTGTAGGGTGTCAGTGAGGTGTGTGAGTGCACCCAGTGGGTGGTGTGCCTGTCCTCCATCCCACCCCTCACCAGTCTCCTGCAGCACCTGCCTCCCTGCCCTGCCTCGCCCCCACCCCTGTGGCTGCAGCAGCCCTGTGCCCACTTTTCTCCCCACCCTACTGCGTTGAGTGCGCCTAGCGGGGCCCCAGCAGTTACTGAGGCAGCTGCTCCTTCCTCTTTCTCAGCAGACCCTCAGTGACCCTGGGTTAATTAAGGCAGGGGCAGCACCACACTGGCCAGCCAGACCACCTGGGACCACCTCCTGGACATAGATCCCCCGCTCCCACTTCGTCCCTTCCCCAGACCCACCCTCTCCCCACCCCAGACACAGGAAGATGCATGCCCATCTCTGCTGAAGGACGCAGGGTCCACAAGACAGTGATTCTGACCAGAG